GTGCCTGGGTGGCTCAGTCGGTTGGGCAGCTGCCTTCGGCTCGGGTCATGGTCCTGGGGTGCTGGGATCGAGCCCCGCGTCCGGCTCCCTGCTCAGCGGAGAGCCTGCTTCTCCCTCTCCCTCTGCCTACTTGTGCCCTCTCTCTCTCTCTCAAATAAATAAATAAAAAAAAAATTTGTACATAAATGCATAAATGTGATAACAAATGCCTAGTTTTTAAAAGTGGAATCTTAATTTTTTTTTAAGATTTTATTTGTTTGACAGAGAGAGACACCATGAGAGAGGGAACACAAGCAGGGGGAGTAGGAGAGGGAGAAGCAGGCTCCCTGCTAAGCAGGGAGCCTGATGTGGGGCTCGATCCCAAGACCCTGGGATCATGACCTGAGCCAAAGGCAGACGCTTAACGACTGAGCCACCCAGGTGCCCCCTTAATTTTTTTTGAATTTTATTTGGTTACCCATTCTCCATCATCAACAACATTCCCCATCCCCACTAGCTCATGCTGTTTGTAACCTTCCATATTTCTCTCCATGCTTTCAAAATTGTGTACAGAAAGCTTATATAAAGACATACACATTATTTAGGGGGTCTTTTTTTTTTTTTTTTTACAAAATTGCACTATGTTATACCTGCTTTTCTGCAACTTGCTTTTCTTTTACTCAAAAGTATCTTATGGAAATCTCTGCAGTTCATTCTAAATGGATGGATTATAGTTTATGGTGTATTATATTCAATCATTTCTCTGTAGATGGGCATTTGCAATTTCCAATTTTTTCCCACTATAAACAATGCTGCAATAAACATATATTTATGTATATATTCTTATATATATGTATACTTATGTATATATTCTTATGTATTGTTATTGATGGCTTTGTTTTTATGGGATAGGTTCCCAGTAGAAGTGTGTGTGTGTGCACACGCTGTCTTAAAACACTTTACTGTAAGTACACCTTAAAATCTTTATTGAAATTTAACATTCATATAGAACATATAGGCAGAAAGGTAAAAATCATATAATTAAATAACTTCATTAATTTTCAGGAAGTAAATACATCTTTGTAACTAGCACCCACATCAAATAGAAAATTACTATCACCTCAGAAATTCTTCTCATGCTCCTAGTTACTAACTTCCTTCTAAAGTGAGTATTATGTGGACTTCTAAAACTATGTATTATTTTGCCTGTTTTCCCTGTTTTTGAATTTTATGTAAATGGAATTTTTAAATTTAACAAACGTTAGATTTTTTCCCCTAAGAACTTAGAATACTTATTTTAACCCTCAAAGTTAACCTTCTACATCTCCAACAGCGATATGTCATTGTTCTTTTTCTTTGCTGTTTTCATTGTTAAAATAATTTTCCTAACTACAAATTAATTTGAGCATTTGAAAAATATATTTGCTGGCTATTTGATTTCATTTTCCATAGCTCATTCATATCCTTTCCATTTTACAATTAGCCTGATTCTTACCAACTTCTAAGAGCTCTTTATATATATCTTGACCCTTGTCTTTTACATTACAAATTTCCCCCAAATCTATTACTAGCTTTGTTTGTAGTATTTTTTAACCATACAACTTTCAAATTTTTACATAGTCAAATATGTCTGTCTTTTGTTTTATAGCTTCAGAATTTTCTTTCTTAATGACAATCTTCCTTGCCCTTGGCCAGTCTCAAATACTACAGTTCTTCAGGGTTTAATTTTAGGCTCCCTTTTTTTTGTCTACAAAATCCCTAGTTGATTGTCATCCATTCCCATTGCTTTAAACCTCCCCCAAATGCAGATGATGCCCATATGTATAGCTCCAGCCCAGACCTTTGAGCCTCAGTAATATGAATCTGTCTACTGTCAGTGAGGCATGTGCTAGGTCCTGGGGGATACAACAGTATGTGGTCCCTACCCTCCAAGCTTATTAGAGGAAGTAGATACTGTGTTAATTTAGAGGGATAACTGGGAGACTTGATGATCTCATGCACATTTTTTACTGCTATAAGGGAAAGGCTACAGCCAAAAGATTAGTTCCAGAATATATGTAGAACTACAGATCTATTAGAAAATGTCAACTCAATAGAAAAACAGGCAAAAGAAAAGGTAATTCTTGGAAAAGAAAACGTGAGCGGCCAATAAACATGTAGGACAATCAACTTCACTAGAGTCATCAGAGAAAATAAAATGAAATACCATTTTTTTCAGGGCACCTGGCTGACTCAGAAAAGCGTGAAACTCTTGATCTTGGGGTGAGTTGGAGCTCCACATTGGGTGTAGAGATTACTTAAATTAATAAATAAAAACTTAATAAAGTAAAATGATATAGGATTTTTTAAAAACCATTGGATGGGCAAAATTTTAAAATCCTGACTACTTCAAGTGTTGAAAACATGAGGAAAAGAACTTCTTCAAAATTTATAATGGTACAACCACCTTTGAGAGCAATTTGGCAAATACCTAATACTGACAATATACCTACCCTTTGATTTAGCAATTCCACTTCAGAGTATCCTTAGGGCAGTGCTTCTCAATCTTTGATGTACATATAAATCACCACGGGGCCTTGTTAAAACACAGATTGTGTTTCAGTAGGCCTGGGGAAGGACCAGAGATTCTTAATTCCTAAAAAGCTCCTAGGTGATGTCATTGCTGCTAGTCCAGGGCCACCTTTAAACAGCAAGGCCCAAGAGAAACGCTGATGCATATCCTCAAGGGACATATACAGAGATGTTCGTTAGAGCACGGATCGTATTAACCAGCTTCTGAAAACTACTGAGGTGAGTAGGTAGCTAAATTCGTATGGTTAAAAGCAAGAGTTAAAAGGAACTGGAGTTGCACATGCCAACCGAGATAAATCTCAAAAACAATGTTGAGTGGGGGAAAAAAAGCAAGCTGCAGGAAGGATACAAGAATAGGATATTTAACATTTTAAATAATACCGTGTATTGTTTAGAGATGTATGCCTATATGGTAAAAGAATGTAGACTTGCATGGGAATGATAAACATCCAAATCATGACAGTGATTACTGGGGCAAGGCAGGGGCCTGGGGATAGGGAGGGCATATAGCATTCACTTCAGTATGGTAATGCTTTTGTTATTAACCTGGGTGAATGGTATGCCCAGTTAAAGAATACAACTGTCATATTTCTATTTTTTGTACATCTCAAGTATCTCATTCAACAACTAAAACAACAAAACAAATAGGCTCATTTTTTAAGATGAGCCTGAGGCTCAAGGACCGACCCTGTGCCAAACTTCAAATCCAGGCTGCGCTCCTTTAACATCACGATGCTGCTTTGCATTAACAAAACAAATGGGTTCACCAAATCAGAAGCAAAACTACCTCCTCAGGTTTGGTTTCCACAAAGACTGAATCAAACTGTATCCTCAAGTGTTTGCTGTGGGACGGGATGCCCTCGAAAAGCACAGGTTTTGACCTCTAATAACTAGAGTTCAAAACAAAGTGCCTAAAAACATTTGCTTTGCTTTTGGACATGGTCTGAATCTTTTTTTTTTTTTGTCCCGATAAAATATGGCCCTTAGAAGCAGCCCATTATTCAAGAGAAAAGAAAACAATACCCAAACACTAGACAACACCCAAATGTGAGTTTAAGAAGCCCCAGAAGAGTCCCTCTTTGTTCATCTGGTTTTCCAGGAGCAATGAAGCAGAGCTGAGGGATGGAGGAGGGAGAGCAGGGGGCACTTTCTGTCAAGGTAGTATGTGGACCCGCCAATTGGGAAGACGGAAAAAAAAAATGTTAGAGGAAGCAAGTAGTCACAGGCTAATTTTACTATGCTCACTCCACCACCCAGCACGTTGCCTACCTGGCCCAGGCCTGTTTGAGCCACCCTCCCTCTCTGTTCTCTTGTTCTCCTCTTGGTTCCTCTTTCCTGGCCCTTGAACCTGGGTGTACCTCTGTTCTGCCCCAGATCTCTTAGAAATATGTTAGTGGCAGGGAGGTTAGTAGTAAAGGGCATGGGTTTCAGTGTCACAAAAAACCTGGATTTAAATCTTGCCTGTGCCACTAGTGAGGAGCTCAGGAAACTTGAAGCAGCGTAGGCAGGCCAGTGTTGTCCACGGAATGTGGTAGGATGAGGGAAATGTCTGTATCTGCACTATCCAATATGGTTGCCCCCCGCCCCAGGCGACTACGAGCACTTGAAATGTGGCTAGTGTGATGGAGGGATTTTTTAACAAATGTATTTAATTTTAATTAATTTAACTCAAATAGCCACGTGACTAATGGCTCCCATATTAGACAGAGCAACTCTAGAAAATGGAGAACCTCTCCTCTCAGAGGATCTCCGTGTGGTAACGGACATGAGACACCCTGATAAAAGGCCCTACTAGTATGCTATATCCTGCCCTGAAAGAGCATCACAATCTCAGGCACTCCCCATACTGATGAGGCCGCCTCGGAGAGAGTGCCAGCGGTGGGCCTGCCTCACCTCCCAACACCAGATGCAGCTCGACATTTTCCAACACTGCCTGAGGATGCAACTGAGGCAGTCTGGTGTAAAGAAGTTTGCTTCTCGTTCCTGTTCTTTTGTCCTCACTGTGCTGATTAAACAGAATGACATTTTCAGAAACCCATTTTTAATTAAATTCTTATATGACACTATTTGGCATTTATTTAATATCAAAGTTTCCAGACAGAAAATGTTTCTCATTTTCTCCAGTTAAACTAATCATATCATTATGTACCAACTGCTTTAAACTAAAGAGACAATCTACCTCCATAAGTTAAAAATACATGAAGATAGGGGCGCCTGGGTGGTGCAGTCGGTTAAGCGTCTGACTCTTGGTTTCGGCTCAGGTCATGATCTCAGGGTTGTGAGATCGAGCCCCGCATCAGGCTCCGTGCTCAGCACGGATTCTGCTTGAGATTCTCTCCCTCTGCCCCTCCCTTGGTTCATGTGCTCTCTCTCTAAAATTAAAAAAAAAAAAAAAAAAAATTTTTTAATGAAGATATCCATTTTTAGAAATACAAATCAAACAGCACCAATTTTATTTTATAGTGTTTATTAAAAAGTTCCTCTTGTAAAACATGAGTGATTTTGGTCCATATCTTATTTTCCATTTGGCTTTAAAACATTTTATATTATTTACAAAATGAATTGCAATTTTTATGATTGTACATAATTTTTTTTGATCCTTGGAATATTAGTTTCAAGTAACTAAAAAATAAACACCTGGCAGACTAAGTGTACTGAAAAGTACATAACGAACATATTTAATTACCACAGTAATTTAAAAGTCTTGATCTTTACCTCTTAAGATTAAAATTCACTATCATGAAGTCATTCAGGAATCTCTGGAATTTCTCTATTATCCACAATGAGACTATGGATAATCCCTTCTTTCCGCTTCCCACTACTGACAGCCTTTATGTAACAGTCATGGTTCCCAACACTGAAGTGAGTTTCAGTCCCGTCATCTACAAACTCACCCTAGGCCAACAAAAGAAGGAGGAATTAGTGTTCCAGAAACATTTAACTTTGTCTAGAGCATTAACACCATCTAAAAAGGGCGGCATAATGAAGTATCTATTAGCTCAATGTTAAACTTTGGAAAATTAAAGTCAGAAGCTTGTATTGCTAGATGCTTTTCCATCTCTGCTGTGAACTGAACGTTTATTTGTACCTGCTTACTATCTTGAACAATCTTAAGTTTCAGAGGAAAAAAGCCCCTTACATCTCGTGGATGTGTGTCTATAACATGCACTATGAGACAAGAGTGACTATTTTTAAAAGTAAAAATAATAAGCATGATAGCAAGCACTTATTTATCCCGAGTCACTTACTCTATATCGAGAACAGTTTGCACACATTACTTCATTGCACCTTCACCATAACCCTGACAGAAGCACTATTACTATCCTCACCGTACAGACGAGGGAATCGAGGCACAGAGTGGTGAAATAACTGCAGGAGGCCCCAGTCAGGAAGGGAGAGAATGTTCTTACCCACTCTGAAAACCTGATTCCTCAGATCGTAAGGTGGCTTACAGTAAAATACACAGGTAACATAAAACCGAGCACTACCCAATCTCTCCCTGTTCTGTCCGCCACAGCAGCTACCAGCCGCGGAGGGCAACTGAGCACTTGAATGTGCTGAGTCTGAAATGCTATGTGCTGTTTCAGTGCAAAATATACACGGAGTGTGGAAGACTTAGAATGAAACAGAGAATGTAAAATAACTCTAAAACCTTTTTATACTGATGTTAAAATTTAGTATTTTGGATATATTGATTTAAATCAAAGATATTATTAAAATGAACTTCACCTTAAAACTTAAAATGTGGCTACTAGAAAAGTTACACATGAAACTCATGCCTGTGGCTCATGTTACATTTTTACTGAGCAGGACTGATCTAGAGTAAAAAGATAGGGGCCAGGTAGTGCAGAGAAGAAAAGGAAGAACAGGAGGCTTTGAGGATGAAAGTGGAGTGTGCCAGAAAGCAAAGAAAGTACAATCAGACTTAAAACTTGGCTACGAGCTTCCTGGCAGCCAGAGCAGAGCGAGTGGGGTCCCACAGCCTAAGAAAGCACTGGACGCGCAAGGGAGAGCTTTTTCTGAGCTGTGGGGAGGATTTGGCCGGTGGCTCTTTACCGGAAGTGTACTGACACCACCACAAGGACCTTGCAGGTGCACGATTTGCCAGATACATAATCTTGGTCATGATGCTTTGAGATGGAAAGAAAAAGAAGAAAATAAACTGTAGCTCACGGGCAGCAAGAGCAGGTGTGCGCAACCTGGGGAAGGCTGCCCAGATGGGGAGCTGCAGAAACTACTCTGCAAATTAGGTTCGAGTTACGATGAGGAGGCAACTGGGTTATAAAGAGCTACTGTCCAAACACTTGTGGTTCCCTGGTAATTACTGAGGAACAGACATTGTGGATGAACATTACTTTCAACTTATTTACAACCACATTCTTAATACCACAAAACAACATTCTCTTTACATTTGCATTGGAGAATTCCTTGAGAGTGGGAGAGAACAGGATTCAAAACTGCCAATTCGGCATCTAGAGAATTCTAGGGTAGGAAGGAAAGGACAGGAAGGACCAGTAGGGGCCTGATCCATGCTAATGATAACTGAAGCTATTCCACAGGGGTCACAAAACACAGACAGAGCTCTCCAAACGTCTCTGCATAAAAGAAGTCTCTGTCAGTAGATTTAACCCGGAGAGTGAGTGGCTCAAGTTCTGGCGATGGATTCTGAGTGAGCCCTGATTAAATAACCCTTCAAGAATTCAAACCAGGATTAAGAGAGAAGCATCTATCTTTGTAACGTTTGATTTCTGGCACAGGCACTTCCTCAGAAGCAGACAGCCACAAGACCCAGCAGGTAGGTCCTAGATAGCTGCTGAATAAACTCATCCCAGACCTCCTGCCCTCTGAGCACCTCTCTTCACCTTCCTATACCTACAACAGATGAAGGGGACAAGGGCAGCACCTACCATGGGGCAACCAGCTAAAACATGACTAGAGCAGAGTGGGTCTCATTATCTCTAGCCCCGGTGTTCACGCCGGAAGCCAGCATGCAAGGCGGGGACCAGGGTTAGTACCCCCCACTTCCCAGCACAACCCCCAGCCCTGGGGAATTTCCACCCAGGGACTGCAGCTCCCAGTCCCACACTCCCCTGCTCCCTGTGCTAGGCATACCACTATTTCATTCTCCCTGAAATCACTCCAATAGTCATCCCGCCCACCCAGAGCTGTAACAATGCAAGCAGCTGACAGCAAAGGCCGGACACTCTGGGGTTAGATGGGGATGTCATCACGCTTGGCCACAATGAGTGGGGCAGCCTCTTGGCACTGCTGGTTTACAAATTCCACTTGTCTTCTGGGGTTTGTGACAGGGCCCTTTCCTATCTGCCTTCGTGTCATCTGACATTGTGTGCATCACTTCTTTTTCAAAAACTTCACTTTTAGAAAAGTACTATCTGCTTTGAGGGTATGGTGTAAAGCCTTCCTATTCAGAGTGTGAACCATGGGCCGACACACCGCCCTGGCACCAGGGGAAATGTTAGATTTTGCATTTTAACAAGATCCCAGGTGATTCCTACACATGCAGGTCTGAGGAGCTGCGGTATGAAGCCCAACCTTAACTTGGACAAACAAGAGGAGGGCACCAACCTCTATGCGGCAGTTTCTGATGTGTGAATTCCTTTTAGGACAGAGCCTGGTCCAGGAGAGGAAAGGCAGCACGTGAGGCTGGGGCCAGCTGTCAACAGAAGGCGTTTCCAAGCCCTCCCTGCCCCAGGCACTGTCCCGGGAAGGCCTTCAGAATTTGGAGTCAGGAGTACTTCATCTCTCTTGTTCTTAACCAAGAGGACCTTGGGTTAATTATCAATCTCCACCATTAGGAAACACAGCAACATTTCAGTGGCAACCCCCCCCCACAGCGCTAAGAGTAATCAAAGAGTCAACTTACTGCTGTCTCCATTCTTTTACCATTGCACCATACGTCCATAGTGTCTTTTTCTGTAAAAGTAACAAACCAAAAACAAAAAACACTATAATCTGTGACTCAAATATAAAGTTAACTCTTTATTATTTTAAGAAAAGTTTGATATACTGGATTTCTAAAACTCCATTAACTTTTCACGGCTTTCCAATTCTTCTAAATTTGAAGAAACTATGTTTACTCTTGGTTCACAGACAAAATAAAAAAACAAAACAATCTTTTAGGAGATGATCATGGCCCCTCTACAAATGGATGAAGCCCTGTTGAACAAAATAAACACTGCAACACGAACTTCAGTATTGAGGACGCACAGAAATGAGTGTGAGGAGGGGCCTTGCCACACAGACTGGCATCAGTGACCAGATGATCCCCACCCCCGCCTTTCACACGGAGCCAGGTGGATGATGGTATAAAGAGGCCACCAAGAAAGGCTGCTACAGGGTTCACGTAGGATGGACAGCATTCAGGCTCAGAAATTTAACATTGAATTTCCTACTGGATAGCCCAGTAACCTCTATTCATTTTTGTAATGCTTTCATTTTGGGGAAGAACTACTGGATCATGAGAAAAAACACAGGCATCCCTGGTGGACTCTGCTGACACTATGGAGCAAAATGCTGCCATGAGCCACCTGGGCATTAGTCAAGCTGTCAGAGCTCACTTCAGGAGGCGTGTACATGTGTGCACGTGTGCACAAACGCGTGTGCATTTTGGGGGAGGATCCCCAGGCCCACTTGCAAATATTAGTGTCCTGGCGGGTGCCAGGAAAGAAGACTGCACTCATCAAGCAGCCAGAAGATGAGCTGTGGGTGTTATAATGAAGCCCAGAACTGGGACCTGGGTGCACGTGAGAAGCCCAGGGGTCAAAAACTTGCCTGTGGGTCAGGGCTGGGGTGCCAGTCAGGGGCTTGTCTACTCCAGGAACACAGTCTAATAGGGACTCTTTTCTCCCCACACCTTGAGACTGGGGTCTCAGAGAGCGGAGAGAGGCCTCTGAGCTGGGCTAAAGGGAGAGAAAGGCTGAGGGTCCCAGCCCAGGAAATGTGGGCACTGGTTGCCCTGGTGGCAGCCTGAGCGGGGAGCATCAACAGGCGCAGCTGTAGGGAAACCGAGCCTGTCCCAATGCCTGAGCAGGGCATACAGTGCTAAAGTAAACCATGATGGTGGTCAAGACGGGAATTTTATTTAATATGTCTACTGAACATGCGCAGGTATCAGATTTTCTATAAAGCTATTATTAATGTGCCTCTGAAGAAACCTGCTAACCCAGAAGCCATAAAAGAAAAATGGAATATATTTGACTACATAAAAGTAAAGAGTATTTCTGCATTACTTAAAAAAACACATACACACATAAGCAAAGTCATACAATAAACGACAGACTGGAAAAAAATAAGCAAAGCTCACAGGACAGACAAAAGTCTAATCTTACTAACATAAAGACTCCGAGCAATCAAGGAGAAAAAGACCAACAACCCAAAAGGAAGTGGGTCAAAGGACACGAAAATGCATTATCAGAAAAGAAAAACAAAAGGACCTCAAATGTGCAAAGATGCTCAACCTCACTTAATTTTGAAAAAGGCAAATAAAAACAACACTGAAATACCATTTTTCATGTAGAATATTAAAAAAAATTTTAAGATCTGAAACATGCTCAGCTGGAGAACCTGTGGGGAAATGGGTACCGGGAGCACAAAATGGTAAAAGCACCAGGAGGGGCAATGGGGCACAATCCACTCAAATGACAAGCGCAGTTATGATGAACCAGTGATCCTATTTTCCCACTTCTGGGATTTTATGCTAAGGAGATATGTCAACTATATTCCAAGAGGCATGTGAACAAAGCTATTCATCCAACACTGCTTCCAACAGCAACAGATTAGAAATAGCCCAAGTGCCCAGCTGTCAGGAGCGAGTTAAATGAACTTTTATTTATTAGGAGATTGACTCTGCAGCTATAAGAAAAAGTATGAGGAAGCTCTTTATGTGCGGTTATAAGAGGATCCTCAGAATATATGAATAAGTCAATAAAGCAAGATGCTTTTATGAAATAAGGTAGTATTAAAATTTTATATTGGCTTGAATCTGAATAAAGAAACACTGGAAGAACTCACTATTAAAAAGGACTTATCTTTATTAGGGAAACAGGGTGGATGGAAATAGGGATGGAAGCAAATTTCTCCATGTAGCTTTCTTTTCATATCATTGTAATTTCTGAATCATGAGTATAGCACCTGTTTAAGTATGTATGTTAACAAAAGAACCTACGTGATACAGTATTAAATCATGGCTCAGATGTGGATGCAGTGAGTCATAGGAGGTCCTGGAGCATGTGCACCTTGTAGCCTCTTCTCTCTGCCCGCCTGCAGCTTCTCTAAAATAATGAATGAGCATCTTTAACATATGCCCAGATTATGCTCTTGAAATACCATTTTCCTCTAAAAAAAAAACCAGGGCTTCTTAGAGAAAAGGGTGATTCCACGTCTGAGCAGTAAATGTTCAAAATGAGCCTAGGACATTGTGTCATACCAGAAAGCAAGGGAGCTTTCAAAGTCTACCAAGGATGTGTCAAAAGGACTCAGGAGACAATCTAAAGGGCACACCATTGGCCAAAACTGGGACAATTTGATGTCCAATAAGAACTTCAATGTGTTGCAACACACAGCAAATTGTTTAAATCCATGAGTTAATAATGATTACAAAAAAAACAAACCTAAATGATCCCCTTTAGAAGAAAATGAGGAGCCAATTCAGTATTTTGAAAACTAGTAAAGGGAAAACAAGTGTTATTCTGCATTTCTTATATAAATTGTACCTCTGTACAACCAAACAGTAGATGACAAGAGATTTTTCATTCTAGAAATATTCCAGAATATCACCATTTGGCAACTGCTAAGGAATTACTGGATGCAAAAATTATGTATTAATGGTTGCCAACATCAAAAAAATTGACAAACGGGGCGCCTGGGTGGCTCAGTCGTTAAGCATCTGCCTTCGGCTCAGGTCATGGTCCCAGGGTCCTGGGATCGAGCCCCACATCAGACTCCCTGCTCTGCAGGAAGCCTGCTTCTCCCACTCCCCCTACTTGTGTTCCCTCTCTCACCGTGTCTCTGTCAAATAAATAAATAAAATCTTTAAAAAAAAATAAATAGGGCAACTGGTAGCTCAGTCGGTTGGGCATCTGCCTTCGGCTCAGGTCGTGATCCCGGAGTCCTGGGATCGAGCCTCGCATCGAGCTCCTTGCTCTGTGGGGAGAGAGCTTCTCCCTCTCCTCCCCACTTGTGTTCTCTCTCACTATCTCTGTCTCTCTCTCTCAAATAAATAAATAAAAACTAAAAAGAAAAATTAAAAAATAATAAAAATAAATAAAATAAAATTCACAAACACCATGTGCCTCTTGATATAACAAAACTATAAAGTAGTCTAGCCAGAAAAAAAGATCAAACCTAAATTTAACCAATTCTTCAGTCAACTACCAATATATAGGAAATAGAAACAGAGGTGAGGGAGCGCCTGGCTAGCTCAGTTGATAGAGCATGCGACTCTTGACCTCAGGGTTGTAAGTTCAAACCCCACTTTGGGTGTAGATTATTTAAAAATAAAAACTTTAAAATTATATATATTAAAAAGAAAAAGAAAGAAACATCACGGAACTGCAATCAACAAAATCCAGACCACAGGAAACTCTTCAAGACGAACTGATCCAGTTTCTTCAATAAATAAGCTATACAGGAGTTTCTGGTTTGTTTGTTTTTTTTTCAACTATGTGCATTTAATTACTTGATAAACATTTTTCATTTTTCTAAAAGTTTATTTAAGTGATTTCTACACCCAGCGTGGGACTTGAACTCACGACCCTGAGATTAAGAGTCACGTGCTCCACCAACTGAGCCAGCCAGTGCCCCAAATGTTTTTCTTTTTTTTTCAAAGTTTTTATTTATTTATAAATGAGAGAGAGAGAGGAAAGTGAGCAGGAGGCAGAGGGAGAGAGAATCTGAAGCAGACTCTGCCCTGAGTGCAGAGCCCAACATGGGGCTTGATCCCATGACGGCGAGATCATGACCTGAGCCGAAACCAACAGTCAGAGGCTTAACCAACTGAGCTACCCAGGTGCCCCCACATTTTTCATTCTTAAAAAGAATTTTTTTAAAAGTACATGCTAGCATTTGACTAGACTGTAGACTCTTTAAAGACATGGACAGGGCGCCTGGGTGGCTCAGTTGGTTAAGCGATTGCCTTTGGCCCAGGTCATGATCCTGGAGTCCCGGGATCGAGTCCCACATTGTGTTCCCTGCTCAGCAGGGAGTCTGCTTCTCCCTCTGACCCTCTTCCCTCTCATGCTATCTCTCATTCTCTCTCTCAAATAAATAAATAAAATCTTAAAAAAAAAAATAAAGACATGGACAACATCTCTTCATCTACATATCCTCAGTGCCTGATATGCTAACTGGTATTTAGTAGGTACTCAATATTATCTAAATAAATGAATTAATGAGATAATCCAAATGGTCTTAACTTTAGTGATATGAGAAGCAGGAAATACTGGGAGTACCAGAAGAGAGAAAAGATAGTAACTTGTAAATATTTGTCTCTTAAGTTTTATAGGCCCAGTGGAAAACAACACAGATGCCAATGTGTAACAATAGAACTTAGCTTAAAGATCAACGGCTTGTTACTTTTTATTTTTTAATCTACTTTATCTGGACTTTGACAATTTTGATGTGCTGCAGTACTAAACCTCTTGCTACCTAGAGAAAAATTCCCTTGTTACTGATCAAGCTTAAATTTCCAACTGTCTCTATATATCCTCTTAAAGAGAAATATCAATAATAATAATAGAAATATCAATAATAAATAACAAATGTCTACATCTTTTTTAAAACCTGTCTAAAAGATTTCTTTTTTTCTTTTTTAAAATTTTTTTTTAAATTTCTTTTTTTAAACCTGTTTATAATCTCCAATCCATCACTACAAAATCTGGCTCTCATATAAATCAGTCATTTAAATGAATACTTTGTTCACATAGGACACATCAGAAATACACCTACACACACTTACACTCTCTCTACTCCAAGCTCGCATAAACGGTCTGGGTGGTTAGGGGAACTAATTAACAACCATCATAAAAAGCCAATAAATTCTGCAGAAACGGCACTCACTTACCCAACACAACTCTAAAGTCCTCACCATCCAAATGTAATACCCAAGTATTGGTGGTTTTTGACCTGTTCTCCATATACTTCTTGAGACTTTTCCCATTAATTTCCAGAGTATATTCATATGCAAATCCACTGACAGCATCTATATTTATGGTTGCTTTTGTCTTTGCAGCTCCAACGCAGAAGGTTTCTTTGCCCACTAGTTTGAACATCCATTCTTTTCTTATCTCTTCCTAAGCAATAAAATATAAAAGTTAAAAACACACAAATGAAAGAAAATTTAATATTTAGCTTTAGAAGTGCTATAATTAAAGTGAGTAAATAGCAATGCTATTTAGATGTAATTTTATTACTCCATGATTCAAATATTTTAGAAAATAAAAGCACCTCAAGTTTAAATGTTATTGTCTATGGATTCTATAGCTATTATTAGTTTGCTTGGTCCAGCAATATGATCCAGGCCCAAATATAAAGACAACCAATGTAAGAGAAAAGCCTTGAATTTACATATGAAGAATCTATGTTAACAAAATCAAGCTTCTATGTATACCATATTTTACAAAATAACTCATTTTTTTCCTACCTTCCCATCTACATATACCACTCGTTTGCCTGATGTGGTCCCATGTTCAAACTCAATTTTATGGACTCCATCACTTAAAGCAACTTCCCAAACGGCTACGAGATCTGTCATTTTTTCCAGGCTATAAGGAGGGCTAAGGGAATAAAATAAAGCAATTACAATAGGCCAAAAACAGTAAGAAAATAACCAATTAATCTTTCCAAAATGCAAATATTGGTTTTTTTAAACCCCTAAAATTACAAGATATTAAAGTGACAGTACCTAAGAATTTCTACTCACAGTACATGTAACTATCTTCTTCCTCTTATGTACTCTTCCTTTAAGATGACACTACTATATATGGGTATATAGTCAGCTAATTCCAAACAAAGTCACCTTAATATTAATAGGATTAAGAACCCATCAGTTTATCCAGGATAGTATTCTAAGCTGGGCTACAAAATAATGCTTGGAAAGGTCAGTAAAAAGTCTCTACTTCTTCCCTACATCCCCATTTAAAAAGCACAGTATTTAATTCTGGTGTTTCTTTTTCATATCCATTCACTCCAAAACAAGAACTCCCCAAGCCTTTCAAACTTAAATCAGTTAGGATTCATTTTAACAAAAAGGGTTCTAATTTATTATACTGAGAAGAAGAGAAGTCATACAAGAAATGTCCTATAATAAAAGAGATAAAAATGTATGGAAGATGGTAATTGTCTTTACTATAGTAATCTTATTAAAAAAAATAAAGGATTCTGTTTTGTCATAAGCTTCTGGCACAACTTAAATACACCTTTTAGATATTAATATTTTAATATAAAATATATACTTCCCCTATCTGTGCCGTGTGAACACCATACATGATATTATGTAATACCTATACAGAACATATTTTGAGCCTGCTCTCTTAACTACGTCTTACTCTTTATTCACTCTAACGTCCTTTGTGTGCTGTCAATCAGAAATGGTAAGTGGATTGATTTGATACCATTTTGAAGTGATTGCCAAGAACTCTGTGCTACGACAGATTTGGAGACCTTACATGCAGGCCCTATGGGAAAAGATGTGTACCATTGGTGGCCACCTCCGTGCCAGGCGTTTACTACCCTTGCTCTAAATCACAGAAGAGCAAAACCATGCATTCTGCAAGTTTATAAAATGTGTCCTTAACAAAGTAGCCTGGATAAATAACTCTTGAGTGATTAAAACAATCTTGAAAGTTTCAAAAGCTAGTTTTATTGCCATGCAAGACATTTACCTTTCATCATCTTCAAAGACAGGACTGTCGCCTCCAGATGCCATGGTTTGGCAAAACAGTCTTTAATCCAATTAGCAGGCAGGAAAGAAAAAAGCAGGATTGCAGCAAAGAAAGATTGAGAGCAACAAAGATAACATCTGTAAAGGATTTTTTTCTAAGTTTGCAATCCATTTCTCAAATTGCATGCAGTTTCTGATGAAACAGCTTTTACATACAACAGAATTGCAATCTCCAGTTTTCAGGAAAAGAAATTAAGCCATGCAAATTGACCAATCATATTTTTCCCTGTTATAAATTTATAGTTTCCCAAAATTAGAGACAAATATGATACCACATCAGAGCTGCAAGAGACCTAGAGGTCCTCTGGGTCCCGCACTTCTCAAATTGAGAGGTATAAGAGGCCCCAAGGGTATGAGTCAGTGGGTCAGGGAATACATAAAACTCCAGAATAAACAGTATGCATCTTCGGGAAGCATCGATGTTACAGGGTGGTAACAAATTTAAAATGCAATCTTAATATTCAATTTTAGAAGGCTATATATTATGGTGGAATATATAATTAAAAAAATATTTTAGGGGCACCTGGCTGGCTCAGTTGGTAGAGCATGTGACTCTTGATCTCGGGGTTGTGAGCTCAATCCCCACGTTGGGGAAGAGCTTACTTAAAAAAATAAATCAATAATTAAAAAAAAATTTTATTTTATTTTATTTTATTTTTTTTTTTAAAGATTTTATTTATTTATTTGAGAGAGAGAGAATGAGAGATAGAGAGCATTAGAGGGAAGAGGGTCAGAGGGAGAAGCAGACGCCCTGCTGAGCAGGGAGCCTGATGTGGGACTCGATCCCGGGACTCCAGCACTATGACCTGAGCCGAAGGCAGTCGCTTAACCAACTGAGCCACCCAGGCGCCCCCAAAAAAAATTTTAGATACCTTCAAAGAAATGACTAGTTTGCAGGAAGCAGCCAAGGATATGCTAGTTTGCTTTCTAACAGCAAACTTAATTTACCCACTTACTCAAGCCCACCTAATTTACTAGTGCCAATAATGAATCCACAAAAGTTATGTGGTTTGCTCAGGTCACTTGTAGGGCCTGAGCCAGAACTACAGCCCAGTACTCCCATGCAATTATCTCAGAATTAACTAGGCTGTAATACTAATTAAATTTTACTAAAATCAGAAGCACACATATATTCACACATGCATAGGAAACCCTCCACGTTTGGAGATTTGGGATTAACAGCTGTATCCCTTCCAAACCTACTGAAAAATAGCTTCAACTATTTTTTGCTCCCCAGATCTACTCTGGCCTAGCCTTCTCCCTATAGATGCCCTAGAGTGCTCTCTCCTTGTTAAAAATGGGAGATCGCCAAACTTCTTTAGCTGGAAACAGCCAGAAGCCACAAACCGTTTTTCAAAAAGATGTTAAAGAAGAGATTAACACTGATAAAAGCAATCCAGCAGGCAAGGAAAACAAAAATTTTAGAATAAAAAAGATTCAAACACTTTGTACCTAAAATAAATCCCTTTGTTTTGGGAGCACCTTACAAATTTGTGAACTTTTCTAATCTCAAGAAGCCCTAGGATATCTCCTATGAAAGTGGAGGGTATCCTGCAACTACAAAAGCAAAGAGAATACACAGCAATAGAGGAAGCCAAATAGCATAATATAAACTTGGATAAGCCATCCTTTGCAAATCAGAGTGGGCTTAGGGATATCATTCAAATTTTGCTTTACAACTTTTAGAGACCCTAGAAAGTTCAGTAATTCAGCATTCAAACTTGAAAAAACCGCCCAGTTTTCCATTATAAGGAACTTCAGTATTATCACACTACGATAAGACATGGTACCATCTTAATTATAATAACTTTTCATATAGAAGTATAAAACACAACACAACAAATTAGAAGGGAAGTGAGAAATTAAGGTCACATTTATTTCTTGAAAATTTTCCCTAAACTATCGACATTCATTCAGACATTCATTTATTTATGGAGTATCTATCTAAAGTGCTGAAGAGTTTTGGAACTTGTGATGGTTGCACAAAATTGTGGATGTACTTAATCCCACTGAACTGTACACTTAAAGATGGTTAAAATGGTAAATTTGATGTCATATGTTTTTTACCACAACTTAATAAAATAATATTTTAATATACAAAAAGACACTGGATTATACACTTTAAATGGGTGAATTGTATGGTATGTGAATTACACAAAAAGGAAAGACCTAGGTGCCCTGCTGGTAGTGTTTCTTGGAATGTGACTGTATCTATAACCAAAAGATGATCACAACTGTCCTTGTCCCCAGTATCTACCTTACTCACTTGAAAAATGAGAAATATCCGTCACACATCTCTAAGTTACAAACTGGACTTAATAAACACATGTCATACTGTAAATTCATTCACCATGCTAATAGTTATCAGTCACTTATGTGCCAGGCACTGAGCTGGACACTAAGCTCAGTGAGGGGCCCTAGAGAGACCAAAAGATGATTATGACACAGACATGGGGGCGTCCTTGTAAAGAGAACCAGTAAAGGACAGAATGGGCCCACAAAGAAAGGATCCCAGCCCTACCAAATGGGTGCGAAGGCCAGAGAAGACTGGTTTAAAACTCAAGAGAAAGGAATTAATCCACTGTCATTCTTAAACTCTTATACATACACTTAATTTTCAGGATCATGTGACCAAACTGAAAAATGATCATTACAAAGAATATTCCCTCTATTTTAGCACAAAATTTTAAAAATGTAAATGAAGGGGTATCTGGGTGGCTGGGTCGGTTAAGCATCCAACTCTTGATCTCAGCTCAGGTCTTGATCTCAGGGTGGTGAGTTCAAGCTCTGCTTTGGGCTCCATGCTGCGCATGGAACCTACTTAAAAAATAACAATAAAATAAAATAAATGAAAAGGATGGAAAAGCAAATTCCATTTATTTTCACTGATGAGGATGATGTCACTCGAAACTTTTTACATGTCTTTGAAGAAAGCTTTTTGAGTATAGGCATCAGCATAATCTTTTAAAATCTCTTCCCTAGCAATTCAACGGTCACGTTTCAGAGTAAGACTTAACCATTAAGACGTTACCACTGTTCATGTAACCCGGCTTGAATTTTGCCTTAACTTGGGTTTAACCGCACTGGGGGCTGTAATGGTCTGTCCAAGCTAAACCCAAGTCCGTTTTAAAAATTAACTAAGATATTCATAGTTCCCTTTTCAGCAAAAGCTCTAGGTAAGGCCAGCCACAAGGTCACTCTTCAACAAACAGGTGTTGACACTGTATGTCGAGACCCACGTGAAGCACTGGGACCCAGCAAAGTCGGTCAGGAAGTTCCAGGAGCCAGGTGTCCCCAAATGCTACCGGAGGTACAAGAACTGGTAACTTTTCTGAGGAGCATTTTTACAATGTAAACCACAAGCCTTAGGAGAGATCACTCTATAAACAATTGATCATGCTCAACACACTAGACATAACAGTGCTCAACGAAACGCCTTTTTTTGTATTAGCTACAAAATGAAAACCATGTCCACCAGCAGGGAAGGACTCCATGAAGTAAATCACAGTCCTCTCACTCAACAAACTGCACGTCCAGCCAGGGCCAGGCCCCGGGGACGGATGGACGCTTTGGTCAACCTGGAACACAGGAACGCAGTCCAGGGCGGCCAATAGAAAGGACGCAGAAAAACACGCAGAGCCACGGTTAGCTGCGCAAGCTGCATTCTTAGGTAAAGACGCCAAGTTACAGCACCTGACGATCTAGGCTTTGCAAAATGCAGTCGGCTCACGCGTCCAGGAAAAAAGGGCTGGAAGAGGATTATCTTAGGGTCGCAGGGCCTGGCTAGGTAAGGGCGACCCGCAGACTGCCCCCGCCCCCCCCACCCCCCCACCCCCCGCTCCTTGCCTCTGCCCCGCGGACACAAAACGTCCGAAACACACCCGGCGCGGCCCGGCGCCTCACCCGCCCCGTCTCACGGTCCGCGTAGACACCGCCCACCGCTCGCAGCGCCCGCCGCCGCCCGGAGATGGCCGCCGCCGCCGGCGCCGCCGGCCGCAGCCGCCGCCCTGCAGCGGGGACGCCCGGGGCTGCGCGCAGGGGCTTCTGGGGCCGCGCCACCTGGGCCGCGCCACCTGGGCCGCGGGGCTCACCTGGCCGCCGTGCACCGCGGGAGGCTCTGGGCCACGCGACGTGCGTGTTCCCACTCCGCCATGTAGTCCGCGTGGCCTTGCTCCCTTCGCCGAGAAGCGGGCGCTCTCTCCTCGGAAGCTGGAGGCTCGGCGGCCGCCAGTTGCGAGCGCGCCGACTCTGTGGCGCTTCAGGTCCCCTGAGGTGCCCAGCGCAGGCCGCCACCCGCCCCCGAGCACCGCCGACGCAGTCCCCGACTGCTGCCTCAGCGGAGGGCTCTGCGCTCTCTGCAGAGGCCCTCCGTCATCCCTAAACCCCAAACCTTAAGCCCTGCACCGCGTCCCGCCGCCCCGGGCTGGTAAGACCCGCTGAGAGCAGGCGCGGGGCGGGACGCTGGGGATAACCTGGTGGCAAAAACAGACCTTGTGTCTGCTCTGAAGCCACTGGGCAGGTAAATCTGTTTATGGCATTCGCCCCTTGAAATCTCGTTATGGGTTCCGGTTACTTCTGTAAAGACCCAAACTCCTTAAGGCGCGCATGAGGCCCCGTGTAGATTCTCAAATGATGCAAGCTTTTTCTCTCCCCGGGGCCTCTGCAGATGCTCTTCCCTCTGCGGGGCACTCCTCCCTGCCTCTACCCTTGGCTATCCTCCACTTTGGTGTTGAGCTTGCGCTTCAAATATCATTTTTTAAGGAAAACTGTCCTGTCCCTGAACCCTTGCAGTCCTTGGAATTCTCCTTAGCCCTTGTCAGGGTGTGCGGTTATTTGTGTAGTTTTTGCTTCATGTGGAACTTAATAGTGGACTGAGGTTCTTGAAGGCAGGGGCTATGGCCGCTTGGCTCTCACTCTGGTATCTCCCACATCGGCACAGTGCAGGCTCATAGTAGGCTCTGATAAATATTTGTTTAAAGAGTGAATGTAGAGCAGGCCTGGGTGAGTTTCAGGTGGTTTCGATTTTCACTGTCACCAGCAGAGAGGGAGGAGGGTTGTTGAGTGGGCCATTTGAGGAGGGCAGTGAGTGGTCCCTGTGGAGAGTGTGCCCGGTGACAATATACAGACATTTGAAGGGATTCTGGAGGGACTCTGAGGGCCCAGAAGATTGGGGGGCATGGGGGCATCCAGGCCCCATTGTGTAATTTCTTCCCCCGGCTTGAGATTAATGTAAAGGATTGTTTGATCTTTAGGGTTGGTAAGAGTTGAAGCAGTTTCTAGATGCTGAGCAAGTATGTGAGAGAAGGGGGATAGAGAGACAAGAGGGAACAATCTATTATTTAGGTTAATCAGTTTGCAAAGTAGTAATGACTGAATTCTTAAGCAAATTATGTTATAAGGATTCTGCTTAGTGAGCATTGATTTCTTGTTTGCAACCCTGTCTTGAAAGCTCCTGGAAGACAAAGACTTTTCATATTTGTATTTTCTTCTAAACCAGTGTCTTGAGCAGAGAGTTTTCAATAAATAATTGTTGAAAGAATGAGGTAGGGGGGAAAAGGTAAAAGGCCCCAGAGTGGAAATTTCCAGCGATGGGACAAGGCTAGCTGAAGACATGTCCCTAATTACTTTTTTCGAGTCCTTAGTTCTTCTAAGAAACAATCCTGGGTGGTTGGGCTAGGACCAGGAAACCCTGGTTGAGGAGCAGCTCTGTGATACTGTTTAATGAAGGATTATATTTTCTTGTAAAACTTTAGGAATCTGGATATCCTTTACAAGACCATTAAGGTATAATTTATTGGATGCTTGCTATGTCCTTATATATTGTTGCTTGTATTTTTCACAACAGCCCAATACTTCCATTATAGAGAGACCCAAAGCCCTTCAGAAGTTGCAGAGCCAGCATCTGGAGCCAGGCTTGTGGGATTCAAAAAGTTCATGTTAACGGGGCCTGTTATTACAAAAGTGTTAATTGTGCTTGAAGAAATATCTGGGCCCTTCCTTAGAGGCCAGGGAAGCTTCTCTGCCCATGGAGCACAGAGTACATTCATGAGGTGTACTCAAGTCTGCACCACGAATAGGCAGTGCAATCTGATTCCTCAGCTGGCTTGTTCTATGTCACTATTTTTGTTTGGGTATAATTTCTGGGATACCTGGAATTGAACATACCAGTTTGGGCTACATTTTCCACCTACTCATTTCCGGGGCCCAGGACACTGACGGTAGCATTAGTCACTTGTTACTAGACAGAACTGTTACAGAAAAAGGTCTGAAGAAAATACTGTGAGAGGTATTGAACTTCAGTATAAAATGTATTCAGTCAAGCTGATCCTGCTTTTGACTTTACTATTTTTTTTTCCTCAAAGTATTTGCTATGCCCAGCATGGGGCTCAAACTCACAACCACGAGATCAAGAGTCACATGCTCTCCTGACAGAGCCAGCCAGGTGTCCCGTGCTTTTGACTTTATTCTCATTCCCAGATTATTTCCTTGTTTCCCCAGGAAGTACCTAGATGCTGGTTCTTACCTCTTAAACTGCCTCTCACTGATTTGCCCATTGACATCAGTGATTATTGGATTGATTGACTACTTTTTTAAGATTTTATTTTTAAGTAATCTCTACACCCAACGTGGGGCTCGAACTTACAACCCTGAGATCAAGAGTCACATGCTCTACCCACTGAACCAGCCAGGCCATCAGTGATATGTATTTTTTTCATTCACCATCCTCCATGCTTTCATTGGGCCTCCTTTTTTTTTTTTTTTAAAGATTTATTTATTTGAGAGAGCGAGAATGAGAGAGAGAGAGAGAGTACATGAGAGGGGGGGAGGGTTAGAGGGAGAAGCAGACTCCTCGCTGAGCAGGGAGCCCGATGCGGGACTCAATCCTGGGACTCCGGGATCATGACCTGAGCCGAAGGCAGTCGCTTAACCCACTGAGCCACCCAGGCGCCAGGGCCTCCTTTTGAAAAGGGAATAGTTAATGCATTGACTGATTTTCTGAACTTACTTTTTAAACAACGTGAATGGAGATCAAAATAAAAGGGAAAAGTTACATAGTCTGATACCTACAAGACTTAAAATTTTCCACATGCCCTTCCCGTACTGGTCCAGCCTGACTACGGGCAATATGTTTATTATTTTTATTTTTTTAAGATTTTACTTATTTATTCATGAGCGACAGAGAGAGAGAAAGGCAGAGGGAGAAGCAGGCTCCCCAAGAGCAGGGAGCCGGATGCGGGACTCGATCCCAGCAGCCTGGGATCATGACCTGAGCCGAAGGCAGATGCTTAACCATCTGAGCCACCCAGGCACCCTGGTGATATGTTTATTTTTTTATTTTTTATTTTTTTAAAGATTTTTTAATTTATTTGAGAGAGAGAATGAGAGAGAGAGAAAGCACATGAGATGGGGGGAGGGTCAGAGGGAGAAGCAGACTCCCTGCCTAGCAGGGAGCCCGATGCGGGACTCGATCCAGG